AAACGATAAATATTTAACTGACAGATTGCAGCTGCTAAATTGTATTTAAATCATGACAATTAAATACGTTTGTTTCTTATGGGAATGTGTTTGCAACACAGAGGTCAGTATTATTACTACTAATGTTACAGCTGGATACAGTGTGATAGAAATAATTTTCCTAGGTTATCAAAATATAATGTGAGAAACCTGCAAAAGTAAGCCAGCACTTGAGATAAAAACAATTATCTTCTTCCAGCTTAGAAATAACAGAAGTTTTACTTACACTCACACAGTCATAATCCATAAAAATATGGCTCAACTCATTCACATAAATAACATTTTAATCTTTAGACATATGTCTATCTATAGCTTTATTTAAAATAAATCCTAGAAGTTCTCATTTCCTTACAAAGGCACTATATTTCCTTTCTCTAAGATAACTCTTTTTTTCTTTTGCAGTCTAAAAATTGTAACAAATTACTTCAAAATCAATGTCCTGATAGTAGTTTACAATGTGTCTGATAATCCCAAAGGCCAGAAAACTAAAGCAGAAAAATTGGATAAGGGAATTCAATGACATATTTGGTGCTAGGAGCATTATCTAAGCCACAGACTATATAAAAAAAAAAAAAAGGGAAAAAAGCCTGAAATTTGCAATTGAGACTTTTTTTAAACTTTCTTTTTTTGAACACATTCTATCTCTGGTTTCATTCTATTTCAGTTTAGATTACTCTTAGGCTGCCTTTTGTCAGTCTGCAGGCACCGCTGAGCAATGGAGATCAGTACCTTTGTCAATGTGAAAAGCACTGACATTTTATGACCAAAAAAAAAAATTGATTAATTAAAAAGAAAAGGATAAAGGTGTATTTTTGAGTTGGGGGGCCAGGGCTGGGGTGGGGGGTGGGGGATACCCTTGGGAAGTAAATACTTGGCCTCCAAACTGAGTAATAACTCATTGCACCGGTGGCAAGACAACCCACATGAAAAATAAAAAACATTAAATAGCATCAAGTTTATGTCATGGATACACTAAGATGAATATTCATGCCTAAGCAGGCAGTACACTGTATTTGTTTTATCTTTGCCAGAATGGGGCCTGTTCAGAAAATAGCCTGTTACTCCTAGATATTGAAAAACTCTTGGTACTTTTCTTCCTTTCATGGAATTTTTCAAGCTCATGGCCTGTGGCACAGTGCTAACATACTTCTGAAGCAACCCTAAGGAAGCTTTTGGACAGCCAAGAAGCTTTCAGTTGAAATACAGAATGGGCTATGATGGTCCAGAGGAGTTTTTCTCAATGCAAGTCTGTGGCAGGAGCAGCTCTATGTGCATTTGGCCAGTCGATCTCAGACGAGTCTGTGATACATCACAGTGCAGAGACAGAATCCTCCTGGCCTTCATCCAACACTAAAATTCTATGAGGAACCTCAATACTTTGTGTTACTTCATTGAGTTTAACAGAACTGACCTCCTGAACCTTTAAGACATCACTACACACTGTGCCCTAGCTCTTTGGATGCCTACAACGACCTCGGGTGAGTCAGACCTTTCTGAGCAGAATTTGAAGGCATTTTGATGTTCCAACTAGGTAAGCACCTGTGTTACAAACTACATCCACTGAAATTCCATAACCCTTCTCTTAAATTGCAACCCTATCTCATCTCATCAGAGTCAGGGGAAAGAGCAGTAGTTGGCTCTCTCCTGGGCACTGAGTATCAAGGAAAAGTATTCATGTTTCTCATTCTGATTCTGGGAAATATACTTCCATCAACAGTATTTTCCAGGGGAAGACATTGACTTCCCTTCTTAGTCCTCAAAGAGGATATTCCTGGGTGTTTCATGGATATAATCAGAAGTCTTGGATTCTGATAAATTCACATACATACCTGTCCTTCTCTCTCTCAAGTAACAGCCTTTGTAGCTCTCAAGGAGCTCTCTTTGTACTTACTTTTTTGTATCGGCAGGGGACTTTGCAAGCTACAGCAATCCTACCTTGGACACTGAAGCCACCACTGCAATAATAGTAGTAAAGCAGCATCCTAGCCTTGGTATATAATGTGCTTTTGTAGGTATTTCCTATTGCAATGGTCCACAGTACAGCAACATTTGAAATTGCGAAAAATATGGAACTGAAGTTTATCAACAAAGTCTAGGATGCCACTGAAAGAGACAGTAGCAGAAACAGCAACTCAGAGTTTCTGAGACAGAAACTCCCCAAGCTGCAAACAAAATCAAAAAGCAAATCCATCTGACATATTATGATGCAGTGATACACTTGTTTATAAAAATCACAAAATAAACTTGATTGGAATAATATGTTCTATTTCAAGTGGCACAGCTCTTTCTCACTAAAGCCTAATTTCAAATTATTGCTTCTTTACTGAAATGACCAATCTTTGAAAAGAACAGATATAACAGTAACTTTTACATTCAGGAGACACATTATTTGATGTGCAAAGCAATAATGGGATTTCCTCTGGGTTACACGTGTATCAGAATAAATGTCTCAATTGCAGATGCTGATGGAGAAAGGAAGAACTGGTCTGCAACACACTGTGGATATATATAAGAGGAATATAGATTTTTATCATCTTATTTTGCCTCTCAAAGCAAAAATTCCTCCTACAGTATAAAACAGGGATGGATTTAGGGGTCTAATGTTTACAATTATCTAGTGAGTCATCTTCTAATATTTATAAATATTTCTCCTTTGTTGATCACATTAGGATGGAGAAATAAGGTTTTCTTTTTTTGTCTCTTTTAGCAGTGTAACAGCTGTGGAAAGCAAAAAAAATTGATACTGCAGCTGATCATTCACTGAATTCTAGTGCATCAGAAATAGATTGAGAGTCAGCATATCTCAAAGAAACTGAGGAACTGGGTGGATCTATCACACAGTGTGGAATCTGTCACCTGGCCGAGCACAATCACAGCAAGGAAGAACTGCACTAACAAGCCTTTGTGTTGGATGCACATGTAAAAGCTTTGGGGGTTGACAGTGGTTCTTCCCAAAGGGATTAAAGAAGTATGAGTGATGTCTACAACCTCTATTATCAGATAATTCGTAAGTGTAATAAAGTGGTGACCTAGTTAAACCACATTCCTGTTCCTGGGGTCTCTTTTTTTGTAGTGTCTGAGATAACAGGGAGATTATTTTGGCATCAATTTAATCTAGTTAAATAGCTTTACTGAAGATCTTTATCACTATAAATAATGGAGGTATTTGAAGTATTTGGTTACAATTCTAACTGAAGTTACCCAAAACAATGTCTCTGTAGCAATCTTCTTCTGCTGTTCCTTAACTCTGTCTGAAGAAAGTTATGAATGTTTTGATCACTCTTCAGCAGTACCTTAAAGGTACAAAACCAAACAAACCCAAACCCAACAATAAAACAGTTGCCCAAGTGTCTGATAAACATTTTAAAAATATCCATGACAGGTAATATCCATGAACATGGTAAAGTGGTGTATTCATTTACTCTTCAGTAACATGAGACAAAGGTGAAAAAAGAAGATGTCTAAAAAAGAAAGTAACTGTCTTTTTTTTTCCAAAGCAAATCAAATCAAAAATCCCTAAAATTATTTGGAACTGAACCTCGCCTGCTCTGGTGCAGCACAAGCGGATGAAGTGTTAAAAAGCATGAAGCACATCTGCCTACTTAGCATATAAATTTTGGGTGAAATGTCTCCTGACCTGAGACATGACTGCATCGTGGCTGGAACACAGGTACCTAGCTGGAATATCTGAGCTGAAGTCAGCATCAGGATTGGATAAGAAACTGATGCTCAGGGGCTGTTTCCTATTTTTTTAAACCTGTGGGAAAAAGCTGTAATAATTAGACACATGAGATCAGAGTTATTGGGAATTTAGCACAGCAGCAGGGGTTTCCCTTAGCTTTCTGTCACTGAGTGCATGGAGTTCTACAGCATGTGATGCAGGACTGAGGATAAAGAACCATAACATTGACTGTGCAATATGTCCCAAACTTATCATTAACACAGCATGCTCAGTTGTAGGGTGGCACAGTGCCTGACAGCAGGGTGGTTACTGTGACAGGCTAAGGAGACCTCAATGATTTTGCTGACTGTATTCTCCTCCTCCTCAAGCAACAATCACAGAATTCTGTAATGTCCCACAACGGAAAACATTACATACAACAGACATGGTCTGAAAAAAACCAACTTTCTTATCTTTTTCACCTATTCTGAAAGAGGAAAGGTGACTGACAACATACATGATACACACAGATCTTCAGTATCCAGGTTGTCTGAACAGCCTTTGCCCCCTTGCCTACAGCACCTCTTCTGTCTATGACCACAGATCTCCTAAAAATCAGGAGGAGTAGCCACTGCACACTATGCACAGTGTTAAACCTTTTAACTAGGCAGAGAAGAAACCTATGCACTGTGTTTGGCACAAGTGTACTGTGTCTAGTATGGTTATTTTCCTCATTAATAAAGCAGAACATAAATTTGCTTGCCATGATACCTATTTCTAGAGTTTTTTTAACTATGTGTTTTTTATTCGAACCTCAAATAACTTATGGTGTTGAAGAGAGGGTGACTTTTAGTCATTTGAGAATTTATTTTAAGGATAATCGTGACTTCCAGATAACCCCTCAGAAACCTTCTGAAAACACAATTATTTGACAACAGATAAGCAAATAACTGAACAGAAGGAGGTTAAAAAGAGTCAACAGAACAGACAGATCTTGCTTTATGCAAAGAGCATCTGCTCTCCTCTCTCACACAATTAAGAAGGCTGGAAACAATATGAGGGAAAAGAGAAAATGTATTGACTGCATATAATATGAGCCAAGTAAACATGCAGCTAAATACCTAACAACTACAGAAAAGCAATAAACACTTATATTGAACACTTCCTACCTTTTGTAACTGTTGTCACATGTCAGACCTGGTTTGAACACTCCCAACATGAGGTCAGAATAAAATGGTACAAATGAAAATAATGCCAATTTTCTGTTGCCATGAAAGTATGAAAATTAATGTCTGCCCACCTGCTGTTTTAACTGATGTACTAATCTGTCCTTCTCTCGTTTAAGAGCCATTACTTCATCTTGAGTCTTCTTTTTCTTTGAAGCAGACAGCTCAAGCAAGGCAATATTTGCATCTTTTTCACTAATTGCAGCAAGCAAAGCTTCCTGTCTGATAAAATAGAATAAAATTAAAATTGTTACATTCTCATTAAAACAGAACATATACTACTATATCTCACCATGTGAGATGTTTCTTTCAGTCTCTAGGAGAACAATCAACTACCTTCTGAACACTCTAAATAGCAAACCTTGTCAAGTCTAACAAAATCATGAAATAAACAGATTAGCCGAAGAAGTTCTCTTTATAGATTTTCCATTATTTACTTCATAAAATATTTATCTCAGTCTATTTTACTACAATATATCTAACAATATTTCTGTGAAACTTCTTGCTTTTAAAAATCTTTGATATTTATTTTTTTAAATTCACTTTCCCAAATTCTAGAGCATCTTCTAGAAATCTTTTGTGATTTATACAAATCATGAAAACAAATAAAACAGATATATGTTTATAATATCCTGTTAATTTTGTACCCTAGAAACCTCAGTGCAGAAATATCTGGACATCTTCCTCATATTTATTTAAATGTTTTCCTATGGATTTATTATTTTTCATGGTGTCACCACAAAAATCTATTTCTAGAAGTAAAATAGAACATCTAGAAAATAAGTTTCTTGATCTATTTGCTCATGAGAAATTTTTTCCTTTGCAATCTTGATCCCTCAGTCTTCACAAAGCAAACAGAATCTTACAGCACTCAGGAACATATAGGATTACACAGGGAATATCAGGGGCACAGCATAAATAGTTTGTGAGGACATATGACAAGGGCAATTTTTACAACATGCACAGATCTTGCAGTATCTTATACTCTAAAGTGCTCGTGCTGGCAAGGCCATAATCTGTCCTTTAATTTCATAAATAAAAGAAATATATTGACCTTCTGCAATGCATTCAATGACAGACTATGACTTATCAGCCAAGGAAAAGCATATAATACCTTTAGGCATCAAATAGCTTTTAGAACAGAATATGTTATGGCCTATGCCTTTTTTCCAGAACTATATAAGATCAATCATTAAAAAATAAACATGGATAAATGAATCATAAATTAACTTTAGGCTCCAACTGCTAATAAATGTATGAATATGGCTCATGAACTTCATACAGTCAAGGTGAGTTAAAAGTTTGGAATTCTCACAGTCCTTTGCTTGCCAGCAAAAATGTCAAGAAAGCTATTTCACTTTTATTTTAAAGTTCCTAATGTATTAATGTAAATATTTATAGGACAATATTTCTGATGGAGTCAAAGAAAAACAACCCATCTATTTTACTCCAAGTTATGCGACATGGATCAATTTTAGGTAAACAGTTGCATTTTATTCATACACTCTAACAGTCTCATTCATTATTCTGTCCTCTTCATTCTAATCACAGTTAAATGATGTTTAAAAGAATATGCCATAAGACTCCAACAGTCTAATTGAAATTATAGGTATGAATTATTTTAAATAACCAGTATTACACATAAAAAATATCAGGGGCACCTTCCACTAGACCAGGTTGCTTAGAGCCCCATCCAAGCTGGCCTTGAACACTTCCAGGGATGGGGCAGCCACAGCTTCTCTGGGCAACCTGTGCCAGGACCTCACCACCCTCACAGATGTCAGATGTCCTAACCTAAATTCTCTGGCAGAAACAACAGGTATTCTGTTACTTTAAAGCCAAAGAAACAGAAACAGCATATTTTATACATACATAAAATATGTTCTTCCAAATCAAATAAGATTAGGTTGGCTCCCCCACAGTCTTCTGATAGCACTCTGTATTAAAATTACTGAGAAAGGTTAGTCAGAAGTGCTGACAATGTTCCAGTGGTCTTGCATCAAGAAACATTTTCTTACTTTTAACTTGCATCAGGCAACAATTTTGTTATTATTTTGGACATTATTGAAAAGAGGTTTCATAACATTCCTCTGGTTTTGAGGATATGCAGGGTAAAAGATTTGCCCTGTCTGTAATTAACACCAGTGGGATTAAACACTAATCTTTAAATAATGGTAGTCATTGCTGTAAAATAGGTAAACAGCAAAATATAAATAAATCTGTTTATACCATAATCATCATGGCAGAGATATACTTATTTAGTATCTGAAGGTAAACAAGTCATCACAAACTCAAATCACTGACAATGAACATAGGTAAAGAAGTATACATCTCAGAAATTCCAAGGTTTTAGAATATAGTTAGATTCACTCAAGCTATGTCAGAACTCCATGCCAGTCAGACCCAATATAATGTCTACTCTCTAATAGCAAATTTCACAGTAAATACTTGCCATCTGTGAGGTTTTTAATGATATATAGTTATTTAATTATGAGTAACACATATTAGAGCTGTAAAAAGCAAAAAATAGAATGAAAGGTTTAAATTAAGTTTAAAACTCTATGAAGCTATTCTGAAGTTTTACTTCTCTGAGGTTTGCTTCTCCTCTGCCTCAAAAATTGGCAGCAAAAACACAAACCTGACTAGTGAGTAAGAAGAGTCAGAACTTCTTTGGTATCATGTACTATCAAATAAATGATATTTGGTATCAAATTATTTGGTATCATTTCAACATCTGATAACAGTATTCACTTGCATCCATACTTTTTGTATTGCCAGTCAAAATGATCACACATTCCTGTGGTCACAACTGCTCAACTGTGCAACACTCTCTACTTTAAAGTAGCAGATGAGGTGAAACCTTCCATGGGACAGGAGAGCCAGCCAACGGGCTTTGAAAAATCTGCACTCTGGATTCTGCAGTCCCAAACCCACAAAATTCTGCAGAGCCAAGCATGCACCTTCTCAGCTGATGGGGATTTTCCTATCTTGGGGAAACATGCAACCAAACACTTAATTCCAGGAAATAACGACTCATATCAAACACTTCCAGGAAATAACGGTTCACAGTCACATGAAATAGCTGCTGTCATATGACACCACAAGTGCTCCTCTGAGACACTCTGAGATTTGAATCAAACCCACAGCACACACGGGTTTGAACTGGCCCCCACGAAATTATTGCCAATATATATTTTAATTCTTATCTTTACAGTTAATTTAAGTGGAGCTGAGAGGCTTTAAACCTGTGCACGTTGAGAGAAAGCTATGCAAGAGTGCAAGGACGGGGATTTCTACTCAAATCCTTCCAGGGCAACGTGGAATGACGAATACATCACTACAAACTCACACTGCCAGCACTCTTGAAGCCACCCAAACGTGAGCCAGCTTCAGCTCAGAAGCTGTAAAGCCTCATTTATCTAAGAGACAAGGTGTTTTAGCTTGGGCACCGTGCCACACAATGTGCTGATGGCTTCCAGACTGGAACTGGCTCACACACAGCCTGCAGAGTGCGGGCAGAGCAAGCCTGCACCTGTCTGCACAGACACACTCCTGGGATATGTCGGCACATTAGCTGTGTCTATTAGCATGGATAATCTGAACAGTAATAACCTCAAATATATAATCCAGTGGCATTTAACCAGGCAGCTGGGTTAGCAGGAGTTCAGCAAAGCAGGACTGTGGACTCTTACCAAACGACACGTTGGTTGCTTACATCCTTATTAAACTACTTCTGTACAGCAGGAAGACAGAGAAACCCAACAGTTCTTATTAACATTTTTCAGAGTACAAGACAAAGATGTTGTGACAGAGCACCTAAGCAAACTGAAGTGTTGTCCTTTACTTCTGCACGGGCTAGCACCCAGCCTCCACTAAGTCTCTGGAACACAGAAGTTGAAAAATACCTTGCCTGTGCTAGTAAGGCATTGTAAGTGAAGGGATCCAAGCATTTATGAAACTGCTGATCAGGACAGACCGGGATCTCTAGATTATCATATCCCAGTTATCACATATTGCACACGAGTTTACCCAAATCTACCCACATCTTACCCACATTGCCAAGCTACCCTGTCATCACACTTCAAGTTTCCTATGGAAGAACAAAACCATGAACAGCAGTAATTTATTTCAGCTATCCAGTGACCCTGCTAAAAAAATAACATCACCGGTTTTGCAGGAAACATTTGAAATGACATTATCTGACCATTAGCAATATGGTTAAGATGCCAGCAAAGCAGCTGACAATGATTTTCTCACAAACATGATGTAAACTTTATTCAAAAATGTGAACTGGTGGCAAGGTTTTCCTCTAAATCTCTCAGGTGGGTAATACACTTCCACTTTGCTGCTAGAAAATGAAACTCATCATGTGTTTCAGTGCAAGAATTTTTGAAAATCAAGACCTGAACTGGCACCAAGAACAACACACAGTCCAACATATTCTCCAGCTAACATGCCTAAGAGTGTAAGCATAATTTATAATTTCTAATTATCTACTGTGTCAGGGAAAAAAATTACTATCCAAATACAGTTCTATAGAGATGTTATCACTATTTGCAGCCAAAATGTCTCCTTATTGTTTAATAAATTATGGCAATAAAATACATTTTAAAATAATTTATTAGAGCAGTGGATTAAATGACATTCTTTAACAGTAATATTTATAAAGAGTAATCCCTTTTGCTATTAGTAGTTTTTCCTCTCTTTTTTTGGCAAACTAATCTGTTATACAAATAACAGCGTAGTACTTTTAACACCAAAAAAAAAAAATCACTCTAACTTTACAGGGTAAAATTAAGTAAACTCTCAGACTAAAAAATACATAATTAAACCTAAAAGCATTTGCTCCACATTGTTAATTATTCTGTACATTTTCCTCAGAATTACATAAAGTCATTCCTAGAATTCTCCACTTATATGTCTTCCACTATAATATGTTGCTCTTTCCAAAGAGGAGAGGGAGAACTTTTCCCTGAAAAAGCAAAACTGATGAAATTAAACTTCTCTCCCTGGCAAAGACTGACAACAACCACAGCAATCTACTCCCTCATGCAAGTCTCCTTAATACAGAGACAGTGAATGGAACAGTCACAGCTGAGAGCTGGGCTTAAGATCCTAATGTTTCCAGTAAGAAGTACCAAGAAAATGTGCACAAATATTTTGCTATACTTAATGTCACTTCAGACTAAAATACAAAATAATAGACAAAAGAAACACTCCCT